CTTTTGATCTGGTCAGGACCCTTCATTCTAGGAAGGTGGTGCTAATCTTTACTTTTTTATGTTTTTGTTATGTATAAAATTAGCATATAGCCGCATCAAAAGGAAGTGAGAACTGCATTCTTCTTACTGGATTATGGTGCAGATCCTAACTGTAAAGGTATTCTCCAGGCCTTTTTGTTTAAAACGGTTGATCTTGATTTTTTTTTCCTTCACGCAATTCTAGCAGTTTTTGGTTCATTAGTCCTACAGGTGCTATTGATATCATATATCATATATTGTATCTGAGATATCTTAAATACCTGAGTCCCTCCCATGCATAGTTCAACACATAAAAATGAATGGACAATTCTTTCTTTGGATCTAAATGATCAAATATTATCATATAGGGAAATTAGAACCTTTAAGTTACCTTTCAAGTATTTCTTAAAATTTCCACATTAGCTATCAAGAAAAGTGATGTATTTATAAAATGTTTGACCACATATTTTTATTCATGCTTTAAACCATTTTGACTCCCTTCTGTGAAATCATTGCATGCACACCAATTATTTGTCAATTTATATATGCAAATGTATGTATGTATGTATGTATGTATGTATGTAATGCTCTTCTTTTGAAGCTCTAGTATTCCATAAGTCTAATGTTTTTTAAGCATTTGATTTTTCTGGATTTTTGTATTGGGATTTCCTTGTTTTATGTAATTACCTTTTCACTCTTAAATTCACAGATTGAAAGACTGAACAAAAAGTTTTACTTTTCTTTAATATTGGTCTGCTAGAGATACTTTTTCTTCTACCCCTGTTTTGCTTCTTCACCGGTTTCCCATTATTGGGCTCTGCAACTCTTGATATCATAACTCAATTCTATTAGTCAATTTATTTTCTTAATATGAAGTCAAAATCATGTTAATATATATTTTTGTTGACCTGTTTTACAACAAGTCATGCTGTATGAGTTATGGATGTGTGCATGTTATGTTTCCATATTTCATATAATTTTGCACTATCATTGGATGAGACAAAATAACTTTCATTTATTTGGTTCCAAACTTTAAGAACCCTCATGCGACCCGTGATCTTTTTAATATATCCCACAGCAGGAAAAGCTTGGAGAAATATTTACAACTCAACTAAAATTAATTTTACCTTTATATTATGCCGACTCAGATGGGAATTGTAACCTCTGTGGGTGGCAAATGTTAAGCTGGTCATGATAAACGTGAAGCCAAACTGCTAAAAGAAAACGGGGCAAACATCAATGCTGGAGATGTAGGTCACTATGCCTGCACTGCTGCTGAGCAGAATAAATTAAACTTGCTCATGAAAATTGTAAGTTATGGGGGCGATGTCACACGTTCTAGGCACAATGGTTACACTGCTCTTCATATTGCAGTTTGCGAAGGCAACATTGAAATAGTCAACTTCCTTTTGGATCAAGGCGCTTGACATTGACAAGCCTGATGTCCATGGTTGGACCCCATGGGAATCTAGCTGAGCAACAAGGACACGAAGAAATAAAGATGATATTTGAATCAAGTAAAGAGATGAAAATTCAATCTATCATGTCTATTCCGGAGAAAGCAGGAGACACGCTACCTTGGGAGGTTTACAAGTGAGCCAGTCATCCGTCCTGCAGTCCCGGATGGTACAGATGGATCCTGGAGCCAATCCCGTCCAAGACGCACAACTAGTAACTTCCACAACTCGCTATTTGGGATAATGTCAGCTGCACACCATGTGAAGAAAGATATACTACTTTCAATTCATCAACCCAAGGGTGTCAAAGATTCTGTTGTTAACTCTGCTAGAGTGGTAATTAGTTGCCCCGAAAAAGGAGAAACCACAGGAAAGCTTGTTCTCCTTCCAGGAGCTTTCAGGAGTTACTTCACATTGGTGCTAAGAAATTTGGGATCTCTGCTGCTAAAGTGGTGACCAAAGAAGGAGCTGAAATTGATGATATTGAGGTGATTAGAGATGGTGACCATCTTGTTTTTGTTAGTGATGGTCAAATACAACAAGAAACTAACTGCCGAAGCACCCAATGTAATGGGTTTTCTTAGAGCATAGGCTAATAAATAGCTACATAGTTTCCGTTTTATTAACTTCAAGATTAACGACTTAATGATACATCCCACTTTCACGGTCAACCTCTTTCGAATGAACCTGCAATATCAGCACAATAGCTCTCCAAGCTTAATATAGTACATCCATAGTAAGAAAGATTGGTAAAATTTTCAAGGAAATCTTTACTCGACCATGCTTGTCATCGGTGAAGCTTCTTGATCTAAGCTTCAATTCTCCTCTGCTAGTGGTCAGCTCATCAACTATCTCTTCCCGTACAGTTCTACTTCACTGTTTTCATCCACTGAATGATTTTGTCCCTGCTCCAGCTGATACATTAATCATTACTTAAGTTAAACATACCACACCAGCTATAGCCTACTAAGGGTTTGTTCTAAAAATGAATATTGGCTGTATAGTTCCTATTGAATCAATTAAGCAATTTCAGTTCCTAACTAGGAGGAACGAGTGAACTCCTGCATTTAGCCAATGATTTCCAAGTCAAAATATGCTCTGCGAACTGCGATAAAGCAAGTGTAGTAAATGAGAGATGGTTCAGTTCAAATCTAAAAACTTTTACAAAAACTTACAAATTAACCAAGACAACCAGAATTACATATGATTGTATAAACAAAAGGAATGCCTTCCTTCTGCAAAACTGTATAAATAAGAGTACATTATAACCGTTGGCTCATCAACTCCTAAAATCAACAGATATTGGCCTCCGAATATAGAGTGTATGATGCATCATATGGAAGTTGAAGTTAGAGTTTCCACGGTGCTCAAGTTTCCATCTGAGAGGAAATATATAGCCTTAAAAGATACAAAAAGACCAAATTTTGGAAGAAATGAAATATGTCGGGAAGACCAACCTGTTTCTTTGCTAAGTTGGGCTCCAAAGCCCATAGGCAATAACGGGAGGAGCAGAAGCGAAAACCATATAGGTAGTTGGTGCCAATATCCTGAAACGAAAGGCATTATGATTGTATTTGAAAATGTAAAGCCTAAAGAAACAGGGAAGATAGTAAAAAAGAAAAATGAGGAAGAAAACCTGAGGCTAGTACAAAATATTGCACCCTAGTCTTGCTTATAGCATGATTTTCTTCCTTTGAAATCATGAAGAACCCCCTTTGAATGGACTCCTTTTATTGTCCATTGCAGAATGAATAGGTTATTAGTGATTATTATTTGTAGTCGCTAAACAATTTTGAGGTAAAAAAAAAAAAGGAAGAAAAAAAGACACAGGAACTTGAATAGATGAAAGGTCCAAAGAATACAAAAAATGTGCCTGGATATTACCGAAATTTGGCCAGTTTTTAACAATGGGGAAAGGCTTTTGAAGCTCTTAGCTTGTTGGATTTAAATGCTAATTAAAGACATTTTTAAAAAATGCTGTGCTAAAATGGAAAAAAAAAATTTGATTAAAAGGAAATGGTTTTCTGGTAATTCAGTAGAGCAGGTGCATTTGCAGATCAGCGGGTCCTAATAAGGCATATTGAACCGAACCGGTTGTTATTCAGAACATGCCACGGAACCACTGATCTGTTCATTTGGAGGCACAGCAGCCACTGTTTCCGTGGTTCACACCTTTTTTTTTTTTTGTCCTTTTTCTTTTTAAGGAGAAGAATTTTAACTAATATTGCAATAGACGACTTTGAAATAATATGGAGATGTCCAGCTTGATTCAGCCTCCATTATATCATCAACAAATGTATTATATATACACGTTGCATTCTTGTTCCCTATAAATCAAATAGGTGATTTTAGAGACAAATGACAGCACTCTCCCCCCGGGTCCATTGACAAAGTAGCCGCAAATTTTAAACTTCTGTATCCTGAATAATTTGAAAGACATTGAACACGTCTCATGTTTCATTCTTAATCCATCACTACAATAGCTTCATCATTTTCAAGCGTCCTTCATGTTCCGGATCAAGTTTTGGTGGGGTATAAGAACCATGAAGGTCCTCTACTATGTACTCCTGCAAAAGACCAAAGTGAGATCTAATCAGTTTAATCAGTCATGATAGGAATAAAATTACAATTATAAGACTAGTTCTCTCTATGTTACCTTAGTAAGCTCCCTCTTAGTAAGAATGTGGTAGTGTTTCTGCCAGATTCGCTGAATTGCCATTGTGACAGCAAGGAAACCATAAGCTATCCCCAGAATGGCAAAGATAACAACAAAAACCACCACCAGTGCCAAGCACGCTTCCATAGATGCGGGAAAGCAATCCAAGATGCCCCATCCATAACAGCAATTCTGACATCCAGCCATACGTGGGTCATTGCTATTGAGGAAGGAGCAATGCAATATGAGCCCAAAAAACCCAAGCAACACGAAGAAGGCAAGCACCCCTATTAAAACATAGAAAACATGGTGGGTTTATCATGTTACTACAACTGAAATTTGCATATACTACAAAAATCAAGCATTCAGCACTATCAATGCACAAAGGAATATTTGACCAGGATATGGTTCCTACAGTAAATATTTTTATACAACAGAAAAAAAATGCAGAAAATCAGGGAAGCTTACCTATGCAATAATAAAATGGTATAGGATGTTTTGACAGGATCCGATCCCAACCATCACTGAATGATTTCCGAAAAGCCCCATCTTTGTCCATAACATATGCAAAGCCTCCCATTGCAGCAATTACCTGAAGAACAGATAAATTCATTATAAGATGATAATCTCAAAGCAATTAATGAGGATGAATCAATCAGATGAGTTCAAGTTCTCAATCTTTCTGACTTATGAATAACTGATAACTTGGATAAAAGAAGGTTTTCAAAGATTATCGGCCTCTTTCACCCTCCAAGGCCCTATCTTGTGTTGATTTTATTTTCCTTTTCCTTTTATGGACGGTCGATAGGAAGGCAAAAGTATGAAACTTGAGGGGTTAAGGTATTTTGACAGAGTTCCCTTTACAAAGTGTTGGTAGAAAGAAGTCTGATCCAAGTATGGTATTATGAAAAATAGATAGATTAAGGTATTGGGAAAAAGGATTGCAAAGTAACCCCGCTTAGAAAGAGGCTTGATACTTTTTGCTTCTCTTTTACATTACAAGGAAATGCAATAGCCACACTACTTTAACCAATAGTACAGAATAACAGACAAAAGATCAAAATGTCACTCAAAATCAAATTAGAGATAGAGCTTTGAATAGAGAATTCTCAAAAAAATGGTAAAATGAAAATTTTCACCATTAACTTTTCTTTTTGATTACTTACAAATGAATAACGACCATATTGCATCTAGATAATTACTTCAGGGCTGAGGCAACAAAAAATACTACTTATTATGGTCCCAAAGATCGATTTAACAGAAATGAAAAGAAATGTTTCAAAACTATCTGAACACTTGTGCTAAAATGAGGCTTCTTGAATGATCAACACCACATAAAAGTCAAAGGAATAAAAAGTTGCAGGGTCTTCAGCCAGTAGGTGCCACCTTAACCCAACAAGTAATCACCACATAAACATATCAAAATTAGCAATAAAAACAGTTGAATGTGAAGAATAAGATGTTGTTAATTAACAGGCACGTGGTAACCTTATAAGCCTGTGGAATGTACTGGTACAAAATTAAGAAGACTTACAGTTTGTACGGCCAAAAACACAAGAAAGACATCTCTTGCTACGAAAAGTCTGAATTTTATTTTACGCCAAGAGTTGTCCTCAAACAATTCAACTCGAAGGTGAAACTGAGCCTTGCAAGTCGTGCAATGGGAGAAAGCAAATCCTTCCTATAATGGGAGCCCCACGTTATATCAATTATCAAGTGCTAACACATAACTTTCAAACAAACGTAGAGAACTTAGCCTTCCCTTCACATTCAGTTACAGAAACACGATTGATTTACCTTTACCGAACGCCAATGATCAAGGCAAGCACGGTGAACAAACTGCTGGGTTCCTTTGCACATGCATGGAGATATCAGTTCATCATCTATAAAAACCAAACAAGCATTAGGCCAAGGTTTACATGTCCCAAAAAAAATAATTGTACAAACTGGTTTCATGCCTTGATTTAGTACAATCACAATCACTCGACATAATTTAAGCTAAAAACCTTAAATTTACCTTCTTCGCCATCGCACTCAAGGCAGATGCGACAACAAGGAGTAGAAGCATTTTCAATATCTTCACTCCTAATCTCACTCGAACTAGCCGGCGAAGACGAATCGGTCTGGTTGTCTAACAGAGGATCAGAGTCACTAGGGTTTCTTGCACCTACTGGCTCTAGCTGCAATTCCCCCGTCATTGATTAAAAAAAGAAGCCTAGCCAAATATAAATTACCAGAATTTAGCAATCACGAATCGATCATAAAAATCAGATGCTTCAATTCACAAGAAAAAAAAAAAAAAACGATCCTTGAAGTCAATGGAAAGTAGAGAATTTTGGGAAGAAAAAAGTTTGGTTTTGATTCGAAGCAACTGAGTTGAAACGGTGGAATTATGGTGGAAAATTACATTGATTAAAAAAATTGAGATTTAAGTAAGTACCTGGAGTGAGAGGAAATTGAGAGAGAGAGAGAGTATAGGTAGACCTTTCTTTTGGGTTTTGGTTTCGTCGGGACAGATTTGATACATTGGGAGTTGGATTTATAAAGGGTGGCTCGCGCGCATGGATTTCTGCCTGCTTTTATTTAGATAAAATAATTTGTGTATTAATATCGCCTAAAGTATTAAAAATTTTTGTATTGATATAAAATATAAAATATATATTTTTTATTTTATTAAAATTTTAAATCATTTTTTTTATATTTTTTTATTTATACAGTTTGATATTACTACCCCTACTTTTGTTTTTATTGTTATTATATAGTAAATGGTAGACTAATGGGTGCTGATATGGGCAATTTTGGGCCCAACCAAAATTCCTTTTTGGGCCACAATTTTATTTTTTTTTAAACCTACTAAATAAAACAAGAAACTTTCTTTTGATTTTTTTTTTTTTTATAGAAAAGATGAAAATGAATAAAGAAGAAGATTTTATTAATTCAATATAATTTTATAGAGACGAATGACGATGACTATAAAGCATCAATTCTCTTATTTTATGAATATTATGACATTGGAATTATATTTCATAATCGATACTAGTAAAGTTATCATAAGAATTTGATTCCAATTCAAAATTAAAGAAAATATTATGTGATTTTTAATTAATTTTTTGAGTATTTATAGAATCAAAGAGTTTTAATTATTTTTTGGTTAGAAACTCAATTAAGAATGAAATAGTAATAGGATAAAAAAAAATAGTAAATGATTAGATAGCTACAATAATTTAAAAGATTTGGTTAGTATGATGATTAATGCTTGTGCCTTACCATTGCATTTTCAAAGAGTTCTAAATTACGAAAAGTGGTCCTATCTTATCTCCGTGCATGTGCTTGGTGTTTTCACCTTTTTGAAGTCGTCCGGTGTCTTCCCGTTAGTCTTTGGACATACGTTGGAAATATTTGATCGAAAAAATAGATAAAATATGAGAATGGCTATTTGCACCTCAATAATTATTTAATATATTTTTATTTTTTGTTTAATACACCCTACATTTAAAATATAAATTTACCACAAACTTAAATATTTCATCTCCATTTCTCTTCCGCTTCATCTTTTATTTGTGTACCCAATTGATTTTAAATTTTAATCAAATCAGATTCAAAGTAAATTTCACTCATTTAAAGTTAAAAAGTATAAAATCATAGATAAATCATTTATTCATTTTGCCTTTCTATTTGATTTTGTATTTAATTTCATAAAATTTTATGTTGAAATATTTAAGTGCGATTCGAAAATAAAATTTAGAAACTTTTTAAAGTTTTTTCAAAACAAATATCCGAAAAACTTTAAAAGCTGTCAAAATTTTAAGTTTTTTGGAAATGAATATTCATAAGTTTTTAAAAAAATTTTAAAATGAATTTTTAGAAGTTTTTAAAGTTTTTTGGACATCTGTTTCAGAAAACTTTTAAAAACTTATGGAAATGAATTTTTTGAAATTCTTGTTACAAATTTTGATGACAAATTGATTTTTAGATGAAAAGAAAATGCACGTTTATGGGAATGAGAAGAAAAGAACAGAACAAGAAGAAAGGAACAAGAAGAAAGAAGAAGAAATAATGAAGGAAGAAGCTGAGAAGGAACTAGGAAGAATGAATTTTTTTAGGAAGGAGACAAAAATGTAATTGACTAATGGATATTTGAGTAATTTTATTAAAGGTTAATTTTATAATAAAATTTTTGAGATGTATTAAGAAGGAGAGGTGTCAAGAGTTGCTCTCATCAATTATTTGATACATTGTTGTGAAGTTTTGCAATTTTAATACGGATTAAAAAAATAATAAATAAATCTTTTATAATTAATTTTTATTTTTTATATATCTTAAAAAATATGTATTATTTATTAATTTTTTTGTGAAATTAAAAACTTTACCTTTAGATAGTTTTTCAAATAAATATATTAAGAGTTAATGTTATAAATATTACTTAAATTATAGTAAAATTTTCAATGTAATACTACAATTGTAAAAATATATAATGTAATACTTAAATAATGAATCTATTAACTATTATTAGTGTCTAATCCAAAATAATTTTTTTGTGTTTACTTATAATACATATAAAAATCTATCGACAAATTTATTAATTTTATAGATGAAAAAGGTGTCAATGAGAAAATTTCAAGGTATCTAGTGAAAATTTTTCTTTAATTTTTTTTTTTATTTTTCAATTTTTGATGGTAAAATTTTTAGAGTATCCAGTAAAAGTTTTTCCTTCAAATTTTTTTATTTTTAAAATTTTAGAAGTGTTCAAAGACAACCTAGAGGAAAGGTACCTATTGCCATTACCTAATTTGTTATTTGGATGATTGTTTGTCTATTATAGAGGTGATAAGGATTAGATTTAATTTGAATTTTTTAGATGATGTATAGAATTAGGAAATTTTAAGATTTGCATGAACCTAATATATATATATTTAATAATTAAACTTAATATGAATCGATAAAAAAAAATTGATCTAAACTGAACTAAATACTATGATTATAAACTATTTTTTTTATCTCCTAATTATGTGTCATCATGTAGTTATATTAAGAGTTAGTACCATATTAATTAAAATATCATAATTCAAGTATGTATTAATATTTCAAAATTTAAATATCACATTAAATATTTAGGGGTTGTTTGGTATTGTAGTATGTTTTATGTTCGCTTTATTTTTAATTTATTGAATTTGAAAACATATTCGAATAAAATATTTTTGTTTTAGAAATGTGAAAATAAAAACAGAGAAAGTGGTTAAAGTTTTTAGGTTCCATTTTTTGTTAATAATATATTAATATTAATATTAATATAATAATATATTAATATATTATTAATAAATATTATATTATATGAATATTATATTATTATATAATATATTAATATAATAAATATAACAATATTTATTAATATTATTTATTAATATAATATTTATATAATAAAATATTATTTTATTAATATAATAATTATAAAGTCACTGTAGCGATTTAATTATAATGTTTGTAAACAATATTCGTGCATTTATTAATAAATAATATATTATATGAATAATATATTGTTATATAATATTATTAATATAATAAATATAACAATATTTATTTATATTATTTATATAATAAAAATATTATTTTATTAATATAATAATTATAACATCGTGTAGCGGTTCAATTATAATTTTTGTAAACAATATCCGTGCGGTAACAATGCCAAATTATTTTCAAAAATTTGAAAACACTATTTTTTGTTTTTAACAATTTCCAAAACTTTGTTTTTGGTTTTTAAAAACAGAAAACAAAAACAACTTCTTAAACTTGTTTTTGTTTTCAATTTTTAAAAACGCTAAAAATAAAAACAAAAAACAAAAAATGGAAATAAAAACAAACAATCCCTTAATTAACAAATTCAAAATTTAAATATCACATTAAATATTGAATTATAATTTAAACTAGGTTATAACTCATGGATGCACACGAAATAATTTTACTTATTTAATATAAATATGTATATGCAAATTAGTTTCTTTTCAAATTATATTCAAAATTTTAAAACTCATAACATATATAAAATTTATATATATTGACTTGTTATTAAAAAAAAACTTTCTAAAAACAGTAAGAAAAAATTTGTGTTTTTCGTTTGAATATTTTTGTTTACAATAATATTTATATACTTGTAAGATTATATCAAATAAAAAAAATTATACCTTTCTTAAAAAAATAAAAATATATATTATTGAATAATAAATTAAATAATAAGAGAAATATTAACATACTTTCCCTTTAGTAATTTTGACTAAATTATAATGCAAAATATGAAAAATGTTAGAAAACATGTGAAAAAAAATGAAAAAAATATTATTTTTCATAAGAATAAAACTTTAATAACAATAAAATATATATTGAAAAAAGGTTATAAACAAAAAAAATGCAATAGTAATATAATATACTTCGAAAAAAAAATTACTAAAAAAATATAAAATTGATGTATAACACATTACATTTGTAGTTTTAAATTTGTAAAAGAATTATTTAGTGGCAATTAAGATTAAATAGATAAATTTTAAATTAATTTTTTAAAATTTAAAATGGATATAATAAGTGATAAAGATAATATTAAAATTTTTGCATTTATTTGAACTACAAATTTGATAATTAGAATTCAAATAAATATAATGCTTTTGATAATCTTATTATTTAAAAATTTAAGATGAAATTTTTTTAAATTTTCAAAATCTTATATAAAATTGCTTGAATTTTTAATGTCTTACGTAAATTTTTTTAAAAAGACAAAATTTTAAATTAAGATAAAAAAGATTGGTAAAAAATTTAGATAAACTTAAACTTTATAATTTTTAAGCATGCTTGAAAAATTTTGATAATTAAATAATTTTTTAAATAAGATTATTTGGTAAATAACTAAAATTATTTATTAAAAAATAAATTTAATATTTAATATTTTTAATTTTAAAAAACATATATTTAAATTAATTTAATTTTTAATTATAATTTAAATAATTTTGATATTTAAATAAATTTAAAATTATCTAATTTGTAATAAACTAATTATCCTATTTGTCATTTAAAAAAAATACTTACATGACAAACTTATTTATATATGTTTATATATAATATATAAAACAGATTTGAATCATGACATTTACCGATATATTAATAATGTCAGTCAAAAACCGGTTTTAACACTTTGTTCCCTTTGTTGGCACAAACATAGTAGTACATTCGCAAATGAATATTTTTGTTCTTTTCTTATTATACTATAATATAAACAGGGAATTTGTAAGACCAAAAAGCATATGACAAGTGGCAGAAAATACTACTACACAGTACTATCGTTAAATAACAATTTCCTCAGGCATGGTTTGATATCGTTTTGGCTACGAAACAAACCATGTTCTTCATAAATTTAGGTCCTCGGATTGCAAATATAAAAGACAGCCTTGTCAAGTAAAATAAGTAAAACATAATCACTTCCACAGCTTCCGTAAGGACATGTTTTTCTCAGTTTCCTTCTTCATCACCTTCGCCACTGCCATCTCAAAATCTTCTTGTGTTACATGGACTCTCCTTTCCCTCAGAGCAAACATCCCTGCTTCCGTACATACCGCCTGCAAAAAGAAAGGAGTTGGTTAAACAAGCACAATCACACACGGCTAAGTTTTGGTTGATAAGACAGTCTAAATCAAAGAACTATGGTCTTCCAACAGTAGCATTTAAATTATCCAACTTATGTACAGAAAACATTTTCAATAAGTTCGTATCATTTGTTAATAATCATCATTAGCCTCGTAGATGTTATAGGAATTACCTCAGCGGACACAACGAGAAATCAAAATTTATATATATATATATATATAACAATGCAATTATTGTCAAAAAGCCTGACCAGGTCTAAGGATCTTTTCTTTCTTTCTTTTGTTGTTGAAAGCAGATATTATGAACACCATCCAAGGCTTCTAGCATAACATTATACAATGCTGAAATGTGTGAGAAAATATTTCATAAATTTAACAATGCTTGAAACATAACAATCTTCAAATGAATCATCTCTCTCTCTCCCTCTCTTTGCTTAGGAGGTTAGGGAGAGGGGGGATCTAGAAGAAAAGATGCTATTCACAGCTTGCCCACATATTCCAATTGAATGAATACTTTCTCTTTATCCAGAAACCAGCCACAATTTAATTAATTATCTGCAGACATACCTTAAGCTCTGCACCAGAAGCACCGTTCATCTTCTCTGCAATCTTCTTTAGATCAATCCCCCGCATCAAATTCATTCTTCTAGAATGTATTTTCAAGATGTCCAGACGAGACTGCATATAATTGAATAGACAACAAAAGTACCTATGTAGCATCAGCGCTGCATGCTTTCTAAAAACAGAGAAACTCTGGTACAAGTACACAAATTTAGCAGCAAAAACTGCCATTATATCGTGCCTCTATCCACTGCAGGTTCTTCATAATACCCTAAAAGGGTTGATCACAATGGCAAAAGAACCTGAACAACTACCTCACTGATAATTTTTGCCTTTATAACAAAGTTTAAAATGACAGAAGAAGCTTCTATTGGATAGTAGCAGCAGCATTAAAACAGGAACAGCATAATAAAGATTCACAAATCATATATGAAAGGAATCACCAAATACCACAACATAATGATTCTTTCTTTCTGCCCCAGAGAGAGTCACTACACAATAAAGTTCAATAGGCACTAATGCCAGCCTTGACACACAACACAATCAATGATGCATGATCAAGAAAATGAATTCATGAGAATGCAATATTTTCACTTCAAATACAACTCAATACATACTTTTTTTTTCTTTGAACATATATAAGATCAGGGTAGCAACAAGGGAGGGGCTTTACATGGCCCTAACATGAAAAAGATGAACAACAGTACTAAAATGCTTGCAGGAAAAAAACAATGACCACTAAATGGCATGTACCTCCTCATTAGGATTTGGAAATTCAATCTTCCTGTCAATTCGTCCTGGCCTAAGAAGAGCTTGATCCAAGATATCGATCCGATTTGTCGCCATCAAAACCTGTTAATCAATGAACCGAAGAATTTAAGTAATAAAAATAATTGTATGCAAACTATAAGATGGTCTCCGAAATTAATTACATTAGTATTTCTATGAAGCAATTAATACCTTGATCTTGTTAGATGCTTCAAATCCGTCAAGCTGGTTGAGAAGCTCCAACATGGTCCTCTGCACCTCACTGTCACCATTGCCACTTCCAGATTCCATTCGGGCAGATCCAATACTGTCTATCTCATCCATAAATATGATTGATGGAGCATGCTCCCTGGATAATCAGAAGAAGGAACCACTTAAGTAAAATAAGAAATAGAAAGCAAAGCTATAACAGTGTGGTGATAATCAGGCAGAAGCAGCTCTACTTTGTGTTTCAAGCTACTAGCTAATGACTAATTCCAGATAACAAGTAATTATCCACATTTAAAAAAGAAAAAAAGGTTCTTCATCACACTCAAAAATAAAAAGGGCTTTGAAATCAAATTTATATATTGGCAATATTTAGAAAGAGTTTTACCTTGCTAGTATATATTTGTTTAAATTAAGGACAGCAAGCAAGGAAGAAGAACAAACCTAGCCATAACAAAAAGTTCTCTAACCATTCGAGAGCCCTCTCCAATGTATTTCTGTACTAATTCAGAACCAGAAACCCTGATAAAAGTACAATCAGTATGATGGGCCACAGCTCTAGCCAGTAGAGTTTTTCCTGTACCCGGTGGTCCATACAGCAGGACACCCTATAATTTATGACAGAGAGCAAGATTTAGTCTTACAATGTAATCATATGAGAATCAAATCAACAAAATGCTATGACTTGGTAGCATGATAGTACCTTTGGCTGAGCTATTCCAAGACTTTCAAACAATTCAGGATGTTTAATTGGAAGTTCTATGACCTGCAAATTTTACCACATTGCAGGTATAAAGAATTAAACCAATCCACAACCAAACAAGGGATCAATAATGGAGAACCAGAACAGATAAAGGTAAAAGCAAAAAGTGATAAGCCATAAATGAACAAATCAAGCAAGTGCGAGAGAAAACCTCTTTTATTTCTTTAATTTGTTGGTCAAGGCCACCAATCATATCATAAGTAGAATCTGGAACTTTTTCAACTTTCATAAGATTAACCAAGGGATCTACTTTGCTTGGTAAGACCAGATGGAGAATATAGCTATCATTACGAAGAGCAACTCTTGTTGATGGTGTTATTTTTGTGATATCAATATTCTTATCAATATCAACAACATATTTTCCTTCTGGATGAACCTGAAGAGGAAATTACAAAATAAAAAGACTGATTAAAAAATACTCCATAAATGACACCACGGATTTCTGAATAAGTAAAATAATTATCTACAGTTTTCAATAGCTTATGTTGTTACCAAATTTCAATCTGTAACAAGATGTTATTCCCATTTGTAAAGTCAACGGACTATGTAGAGATAAAAGGATAAAATACCTTAACTAAAACCTTGTTTTTACCCATAACTTTCAGGACCATGTAGGGATAAAAGGATAAAATACCTTAACTAAAACCTTGTTTTTACCCATAACTTTCACAACCTCACCAACATAGGATCCAGGCTCCTGAAGCAGCTGCAGTTCCTCTCTTAGCATTCTCACTGTTCGATACATAAACATAATAAGTACTTAAAAAAAAAGACTAAGAACACGAAAGCACCAAAAATTGAGATTAAGTTATATTCAAAAACCTTTTTCCCTAAAAAACAACGCTCTACAAACGTGTGTGTTTCCAAGTTTAGGCTAAACAGAAGCCATAACCAATGGCACAATATTCACCATCAGATGTATTAGATGCACTGTCCAAGTAAAAATGCAATGATGTTAAAAATAAACCCCATCCACCCCTTCCAATCAAAAGAATACTAAACTGATAACCAAAAAAGTAAGTGGCAATATAAATAGAAGATTATTACAAATCATTGACGAATGACAATCACCAATATGACCTTTACATTTCAAACTACACATAGTTTCCAACCATACAGAAAAAGATAATGGATTTATTGATGCACAAATTATTGACAATATCAAATGACTACTTCTGGCTACGCTTTTTACTTGAAAAAATCGGGACCTTCAAAATTCAACCAGTTTTTTGCATAATCTACTATTAACTTTCAGTTAAGACTTTTCCAGGTTGTGCTGAATTAGAATATATAATAAAATTTCCGATTCACTTCCATTGCAACAACCAAAAAGTTCTTTTAGATCTAGAAAAAAGTCAATCAAACCACTAAGCTCAATAATCCTTTTTTCACTGATTTTTTATCCACTAAGACAACCCAATTCCCAAAGTAACCAGCAGATGTGATCACCGCCTTAACCTCGACAAACTACTAAACCAATATCCTTCTGTGCTCTAACCTCTATTCAGCTAAATATCACTATTTTCTCACAGATCAAAGCACCAAGTAACAACTTTACCAAAGAAATCAACAAAAACCCTAACCCCAAATCGACAATCTCAACCAACCCAAAAACTAAAAAAAAAAAAAAGACAATAAACCGAGTTAAAGAAAATAAGATTAGGGTTAAAGGACCTCGAGAATTGAGCTCGTTGCGTTGGGCTTCAAGGCGATTGAGATTGTGAGTTTTTTGGCGGAGATTGAGCTGGAGCTCGTGGATGTGTTGGACATAGTATTGCCGGAGGCCTTCCCCTTGCTTGGCGCCGCTCTTGGCGGTGCACATCTCTTCCGCTGGTGCCGGTTGCTTGCTCTCGATACCCACCACCGCCATTGAGTTTCGTTTCTTAGGTTCTTGCTTTTGGCTACTACAATCGCATTCAGAGACTTTATACAATAGAAGGGGTTTCTACTTTTCTTTGATAACAAGTTTTTGATTAGATTTCCAATAAAAATGGAGTTCTTGTTTGGGTTTATATATATATATATCTGTTCGGCTGGCGGAATTCATGGGCTTCTGGCGATCATGGTAGATGGGTTAGGCTTTGGGGAGAATTTTTGGGCCTTTATTTTATTTGGGTAAAAATTTGTTCGAGTTTGAAAAAAATAATTTTTTAATAAATTAAAATAAAAAAGTTTATAAACAAAATATAAATTAAAAATAATAACATATACATCATGGAATTAGTAATAATCCAAATAAAATCACTCAAGGAGATAATTGAAAATTATTAAATCATTCAAAACTTGTATTTAATTAATAAATTTATAACATCATTCAAAACTTGATCAAGTTGACCCTATCAACATGCCAACCAATAAGAAATTTGCCTTTTTGGGTTGGCCTAGGCTCGTATAACATCTTGTTGGGCTAACCCAATTTCCTCTTTAATATTTACTTTTATTAAAAAAAAAAAAAGGGGGAAGAATGCGAAAAGTCAGCCTTCCATATATAAGGAGGAGATCAATAGCAGGTTTGTCCTTGCGCCTATCCCTTTGGTTTTCGTATCTCTGTGCCTGACTCCAGACTCCTGTAAAACATTAGTTTCTTTTTTCTTTTTCTTTTTTTTGTTTTTCCCTAACATTTTCGCATCATCTTGCTCAGAGCCCAGGGTTAGGAGGTGTGGATTCACGCAGTCAAATCCCCAATCCCACTAATCAAAGCGTTTTCCCACCTGTACTAAACTACCGCCATTTCTTTTTCTGTCTCTTTACTACTAATCTCTCTCTCTCTCTGTTTGTACATTCTGATCCCCAAAAGAATACCCAGAAAAGAAAACCCAAGTTGTCTTTTTTATTCTTTGGGTTTGTGTAGATTTGTAATTATTTTAAGGTTGTCTTGTTGTTTTGTTTGGAGATCGTAAAAGAAAGGGATTTCTTTTTCGTTTTGTAAGTAAAAAGAAATGGAGAAGAAAAGGATTGCGGTCCCACTTGTTTGCCATGGCCATTCACGTCCCGTCGTGGATCTCTTTTACAGTCCTGTTACTCCAGATGGCTTTTTTCTCATTAGTGCTAGCAAAGGTAATTTCTATTTAGTTGGTATAACATTATTTTCTTGTGCAAAATGCTTATGCTTAAGTTTGTATTTGATTGATTTTATTTCATTATTTAAGCCTTTATACGTATATAAATGGTGGTAATAATTTGTATATTATAAATGTTAAGACAGTAACTCTCCATAGAACTATTAGAGATATGCACTTTTCTGGAGGGATAGTCTGATATTGATCTCATGCTCATAAAATGGGGCTTTCCTTGTCTGGTTCAGATTCCAGTCCCATGCTGAGGAATGGGGAAACTGGAGATTGGATAGGAACGTTTGAAGGACACAAGGGCGCAGTGTGGAGTGTTTGCCTGGATACAAATGCTTTACGTGCTGCTTCTGGTTCTGCTGACTTTACTGCGTATGTGATTCATTCTTGATCTCCTTCTTTCACGTATGGTGTCGTCATCCTGTGAAAGTTGTTTAATTATTTTCGTGTATTATGCATATTGTGTATCTAAGATGGAATGTCTTGGAACACCTCAAGAGGCTTGTGGAAAATTGTTTATATATTTACGGCATCGAGAGACTCAACGTCACTATAGTCTTCCCTTTTGCATCGTTCTTTTTCTGGAGGCTGCTCTATACATATTTCTATATACTGTTGCCTTGCTGATTCTCAAATAATGTACACTATCACCCCAAAGTAGATGATACTCTTAATAAAGGTTTGCTACATTCTAGATAACTTCTCATGCTTTGGTCTCCTGCTGCAGTAGTTTGAGTTGAGATCTTGTAATTGGGGTGGTATCTATTGTTTCATCTACTGTTTCGTGATGAGCTATTCACCGATAAAAAGTTGAATATCCTGTGAAATGCCTTTTTGTGCAGGAAAGTGTGGGATGCACTAACAGGTGATGCATTACACTCATTTGAGCACAAGCATATAGTTCGAGCCTGTGCTTTTTCTGAGGTAAAGTTGGTGCTTCCACTCTGTTCATGTGGGGGAATTAGGGGAGTGTATATATGGTGGAATATGGTAGGGAAAAAGAAAGAAAGAAAGAAGTGGTGTTTGAAATGTGTAACAGCTTATATGGGTTCATGAATCATCAATCTTTTGATAAAAGGATATTTATATGATAAACTAGGTGTTTGTTGAACAGCTTTCTAGGTTACACTGGCCCTCAGTATTGATATTTGAAAAGTAATTTCGATTGCTTCTGCCAAACGCTTGTAATTCTTGGGAATAGTAATGTGTGTTTCTAAATCCAAGCTAGCAATACAACATTTTGGTCCTTAGATGGTTTCTCTTGATCTTTATTTTCTTTGGTTGCCTTGACAAAGAAATTTTAACCATGTTTGACTTTTGAAGACATGCTCAACTTGTAATGGGTGGTTGTCACAGCTATTATAGTATTTTTGTTTATTTTGTTAATCTCATAAGGAATTTATTACAAGATGCTAACTACCATGATGGTTCTTGAATCAAGTGTTTAGCTTTCTTCAACTGATAAAACAATAAGGGTTGATATTATTATCTTAGTATGGGAAACCATAAAAAAATAACTTGTGAGTTGACATAAGTGCAATTTTGTCCAATACAAAGTCACAGGAGCCAGGGGGAATTTAGGATATTTTAAGCTAGTTATCTGCAAATAGCAATTGTTGAAGTTTGTTTTAAAGATATTTTGCTCATCACCAGTAAAATTCTGTTCTGGAATGGTTGGCTTCGTTGTACCCTAATTATTTTCTTTTCGCCAAGTACCCCTAATTGTTAGTGTTTCTGTTTGTTTTACTTCTTGTTTCTTAGTTATTCATTTCATTCAAGGTTTTCTGATCTGGTTGCAGGATACACACCTTCTATTGACTGGGGGATTTGAGAAAGTTCTCCGTATTTATGATTTGAATCATCCAGATGCACCTCCAAGAGAAGTGGACAAATCACCTGGTTCCGTCAGAACTGTTGCGTGGATGCATAGCGATCAGACAATATTAAGTTCTTGCACTGATATGGGGGGTGTCAGGTATCCATCTTCCTTCACGTGTGTAGGTTCTTTCATGCAATTTCTGTAACAAGCAAGCATATTGGTTCCATTATTGATTCCTATTATATGTGTGATGGTTGTTGTGTTGTTGTGAAAACCGTATAGGATCACCTCATTTTTTTTCAATATCTGGTTCCATGACACTTATTTGGAGGTTTTGAGATCAAGTATACAGATCCCTGAATTTCCTGTTTATCCCAGAGGGAGGGAGAATGTAGAAAGGCACTTGATGGATGAGTTGTTGGTGTCCAGATGATTGTGTGCTTGTTGATTTACTAACCATTAACTTAAGGCATTTTTTTACAGTGTATAGGACTATGTGGAGTATCCCTAAGAGGCTGTTATTAACCTAGTCTTCGTGCTTGTCTTGGTTTTTTATGGCATCTATGTCTCTATCTGTCCTTTTACTGAATTTCTTTGTGACTCTTCAGATTATGGGATGTAAGGAGTGGTAAAATAGTTCAAACTCTAGAGACCAAGTCATCTGTGACCAGTGCTGAAGTGAGTCAAGATGGTCGATATATCACAACTGCAGATGGATCTATGGTTAAGTTCTGGGATGCAAACCAGTTAGTTCTGACTTTCAAGCCAGATTGGTCTGATTTTTTTGCTAGACTATTTGCTTTTATTGATTACCATATTCTGTGCATTATGCCTTGATTTCAGCTTTGGGTTGGTAAAGAGCTACAACATGCCATGCACAGTTGAATCAGCTTCATTGGAACCAAAGTATGGAAATAAATTCATTGCTGGAGGAGAAGATATGTGGGTTCGTGTTTTTGATTTCCACACTGGGGATGAGATAGGTATGTTCTCAAACATAAATTGAATTGGACCTGATGATGGAATGCTGATTAGTGTTTGAATTTAGTGCTTGAATTCAAATATGAAATGTGATTCTACTCTTAAATTCCTTCAATTCTAGGAAATATACGTGGCTGTAGTGTGTTGAGTAGATTTGGTGCTTGAATTCAAATATCATTTGTGATCTTGCATTTTCTGTTTCCTTTTGTTTATGGTAACTAATATTTTCCCGTTTGTTTGCAGCATGCAACAAGGGTCATCATGGTCCTGTGCACTGTGTGCGTTTCTCGCCAGGAGGGGAATCATATGCCTCAGGATCCGAGGATGGAACCATTAGAATATGGCAGACAGGTCCTCTGACTTATGATGACACTGAATCATTTGCAGCAAATGGGCCAGTTGGAAAGGTGAAGGTATCAGTAGAACGCAAGACTGAGGGTTTCCACATTGTAGAAGAGGGCAAGAGCAAAGAGAAAGAAGCAGGGAATGAGTAAGAAGGGTTATGATTTCGAGCTTTTATCTTTGCAGGCAATAACCGCTTTTGGCCAAGATCCTCAAGATAGTTTTTCTTATCAGAGATAAATTAGATTTTTTTTTTGTATAATTTCCAAGTCTTGCTGCGTTTAACATAAATAGACTAGACCAAAATGTTTTGTAAAAGATATAAGCATCTAAAATTATATGGTCCTCCCCCCCCTTCCCTTTTGAAACATGAATTGCCAACCAAAAAGCAGTTGATTGATCTTTTTAATTTCATTTCAAAGTGTATTTTTATAATTTCAAATTTAATTTATTCAATATAAATGCAAATTATATAATTTTAAACTTTTGCACTTATTTTAAAAAATGCTTAAAACATTTTAAAAAACATATATTTTGATCATAAATGCAACAATAACTATGTTTCAATTTTCAATTTGTCAAAAGAGAGTTATTCAAAGCTATAAATCCTCTTATTCTTTTCAATATTTGTATTAATTTGAAAAAAAAAAAAATGCCGTGTAATATAAAATTTTTACTCAAAATTTCCATTTTTTAAATTAAAAAAATAAACATTAATTAAATGAAATAAATCAATAAAAATAAAACAATTAATAAAATAAGATTTATGTCTATCGTAATTTTATAGAAACAGTAGGGTTACTTCAGTAAAGGAATCCACTATAAGTACCCCTTCCGTTCTGATGTATTCTTACTTCGAAAAAACTGCTTTCTGTTTTTCAACTCTGAGATCGCAAACTTTGTGTTCCATCGTTTCCCATACAAATTCTCTCTGTTTCTTTCCTCTTTTTATATCTGTATTATCTCGGGTTAGTTTTTATATTTGGCGGGAAAGATGTCTGGGAAAGGCGCGAAAGGTTTGATTATGGGCAAAACCTCGGCTGCCAACAAGGACAAAGACAAGAAGAAACCCATATCTCGTTCTTCCCGAGCTGGTCTTCAGGTAGATTTTTGTCTTGTTTTGTCCTTTTCGTATCCTTGTTCTTATCCTTCCTTTTTTGGGGTTTTCACGCTTTTGATTATGGATACGATGTTAGCCTCTAAAAACTTGCGGGGCTTTATCTGAGTACTTGAAAACCTGATGACGATTTGATAAAAGATAAGGAATTAATATAGCTACATAATAATTGTAATAGGATCTTTTTGTAGTGCCGGCTATTGTTTTTTGGTGTTTAATTTATTAAGTACTTGAATGTTAATATTGTTGTGAAATCCGTGGTTTATAGTTGATGACGTAGTTCCCCACTGTTATTTCGCATTTTTCATACTTCAGCACAGGCGATTAGATGACGTACAGTACTTTTTAATATATCCCTCTATTACAATGGAGTCGTATAAAGGGATGGCAGCCAAAGCCAAGTGATATTGCTATTTATTATTTGTCTGTAATATATCTGGCAATTTAGTGAACATTTGTTTCGAGGCATCTAAGGTGTCTCGAGTTCATTAATGGACCTTAGTCCTCTGGCCTGTAGCTAAATCTTGATTTAGGCCCCGTTCAGTGATGGTGGCCAGTGCGGTGGAGATTCATTCTCCCTGCACTGGAGCCCTGATTGGGGTTAAAACGCCTCTGAGACTTAGACCATCACCGAAGGGGGCCTTAATCTGTTTAACAATTACAACTTACAGTAGTTTAAAGTTGTTTAGGGTCAACGGGCTATAACTGGTGTATCTGTAGTGATTGAATGGGCACTAAAAAGTTTCATTGCTATGGGCACGTCAGAGATTGTTCGCTTGTTCCAAGTGGGTGTAATTGTTACTATAGTTCTTTTTTCTCTTTAGAGTTTCTCCAATTATGTTTGACATAAAAGAATTGCATGTGCTCTTGCTATGGTTATTCTATGTTGCTCTTGATCTATTTTGAATCTTTTGGACTTGCAAGTGGCATCTCTTTTAGTCAATTGTTCCAGAGTATGGACTTTTTTGTTTTGATTGATTACTATCACTTTTGTCGATTGTTGGTTGCAAATCACTACTTTGGACATCACTAGAGCTTGGCGTTGCATATGCTATGTTTTCCTTCATTTGTGAATTTTGGTATAATGTGCAACCTGCAGTTCCCAGTGGGCCGGATCCACCGTCTACTAAAGTCAAGGACCACAGCACACGGGAGAGTAGGAGCTACTGCTGCCGTTTATTCTGCTGCTATCCTGGAATATTTGACTGCAGAGGTGTTGGAGTTGGCTGGAAATGCAAGCAAAGATCTTAAGGTGAAACGTATTACCCCCAGACACTTGCAGCTTGCTATCCGTGGTGATGAGGAACTTGACACCCTGATCAAGGGAACCATTGCTGGTGGTGGTGTGATCCCTCATATCCACAAGTCACTCATCAACAAGTCATCCAAGGACTAGACCGTAATGGATTATTGCTTGTAGAGATTTGCCAAGTCTCCATCTAAGCTGCATCCCCTTGCCGTGAGCTTGAGTCTAAAACCTTGGATTTATGAGTTTCTGCTATGATAGTTAGGTCATGCATTTATGAGTTTAATAATTTGTTGAAACTTAGGCCTTATCTTCTTTTAGCTGCTGAACTGGGTTTGTTTTTGGTCTTTTCTTTTCCTTTTCTGATATATGCTGTCGATATTGGGCATTATTTAGCAGATTGACCGACATGTTGGCTGTTGTGTGGTTTAACATATATGACTACCTTGAAGGTTTTTGATGCATTGTAAGATTAGACGTTATTTTGAGATGTAGCAAATAATATCAGGAAATCCGCATGTATTCTTGAGTTGCTTTCATTTTATCTCTTTTTTTTTTTTTTTTGTTAAATTTCAAAATCTGGAATTGTATAGACTATGGCATGCCTAAATTTCTCTTTGATTTTTACGATTAAATTGCTTGTTCCATGGTCTACTGCAGCACTGCCAGCTGCTGTGGTGAGTCCAAAGGTGAGGGTATCAAATTAGAATTTCTCGTCCAAGGCATGTGGGAACCGAGCGACGGCGCTTATGCCAATTTGGAGCTAATTTCTTATACTTTGACAAAGTAATTGACTTATTGGCTATCTTGGACCACAGAGTTTACAGTGCTCCCCTTACGTATAATGGTTCATTTCTGCGTCGACTATCTTGTCTGCAGCTCATCTTGTCCAAACACTAGCTGTTCCTGGGATTTCTGTTAAGCATTAAAAACGAAAAAAAAAAAAAATAGATGGCTGAAGATTTGGGAATTTGGGATTTGGGAGATATGTTGAGTTAAAATGAGGAAAGCATAGCCTTGTTATACCAATAAGGTGCAGCCAATTTCGTAGTCCAAATAAATTATTAGATATGCCAATGAATAGGATATGAGATGAATAGAATATTTTTCATTTATATTCTTAAATTTTATATTATAGTTATTTTTTGTACTTATATTTAATAAGCATTTTAAATTTATTCTTATTTTCATTTTCACATGTATTAATGGATATAGATAATTTTTATAACTTTTTTAAAAAATAAAAAAAAATTATTTTTTAATTTTTAATTTATATATTTATGTAATTTTTTTTATAAATATATATTAATATATATTTTTAAATAAAAATATATCAATTCTAATTAATGTAAAATAATAATTTATATCATTTAACAAAATATCTATTTACTAAAATATATATATATATGTAAAATATAAATATGAAACAGATATTATATTATTTATTTTTATTTTGTATATGATAAAAATTTAAAATCATATCTATTTTCATTTTCGTAATGCAATACTCATTCTTATTCGGGTAAAAAAATCGTATTTCTAATTAAGATTAACATCCTTACAAATTATCCATCTATTCAACTATGCTTGCTAATGCTAGGTGCCGCAGCACCATTTAGGGCACTGTTATTACTAGCCACGTTAACAGAATAGGACAACCACCAAGCCAATCCACCGAGAAGCATGAATCATTGCCCAAAAATTTGTTATTTAAGCTGCTATAAGGAAAACAGAAGTGAGTACAAACGAGCAGCAAATTGATGGTGGTAAAAACCATAAAGATCAGAAGCATTCTACAATGCCAGTGATAAGTTAAATTAGTTACAACTTGCAATCCCAATTCAAATCTCTGAATCATGTTATGAGATCTTGAAACATAGCCAAGCCTCTCATGCAGTGATCTGAGTAAAAAATGCTCTAATATTCCTATACCACCCGTGAACCAATGCGTTCCCCAAATTTGTTACACCATGAATAACCTCGCTCAAGCAGCACCTATGAAATAACATAAAACTAGATAACAAAATGCAAGATGTCCTCATTGCAATGACGGGTCTATCACTCATCCTAATATGCAAAAGTAGGGATGCATATCTAAAGTGAGATAGCATTGCATGAAAGTTTCACCACGATCCCAGAAGTCATTCTGGAATTTAGATGGTGGAGACCCTTGGAACATCAACTGGGAAGTTATGGATCTCATCCATCCATGGGTTTTTCTCCTTTGCTGGATTTACTGTCCTCAAAGCTTTCCACACAGCACTGTTACACTTGAATCCTGAACCAAATGCAATTTGCCATGTTCTGTCCCCCTTTCTAATCCTACCCTTAGCTTCTGAATAAGCCAACTCATACCAAAGAGAACTGCTAGAGGTGTTGCCAAATCGGTAAAGAGTCATTCTTGATGGTTCCGTGTGCCACTCAGACAGCTGCAAATTCTTCTCCAGTTCATCCAAAACAGCTCTTCCTCCAGCATGAATGCAGAAATGCTCAAAAGCTAGCTTGAAATCTGGAATGTATGGCTTGACCTTCATTTTGAAAAGCTTCTTTCCAACCAATGTAGCAAAGAAAAGCAGCTGCTCGGACATTGGAAGAACCAGAGGCCCCAATGTGGTGATGTTGGTCTTTAAAGCATCACCAGCAACTGCCATGAGATCCTTGGACAATGTAACACCAACCTTCCCAGTGGAGTCTTCTTCCTGGGTAACACAGGCAAAGCACTTATCATCTGCACCCTTGTGGGTGCGAACAGTGTGAACCAATTGGTATTTGGATCTTCTTCTGTCAGAGCTTTTGTTTGAGAGCAGTATTGCAGCCCTCCCATCCTGAATAAGCAGTTTGAAACAAGTTTTGAGCGATCATTTCCAAAGTACCAGTTCAAAGTGATGTTCTCCATGCTGATAACCAGTACATAGGAGTTGGGATTGACTTGAAGAAGATTTTTAGCAAGATCTATTGAAATCAACCCTGCACTACAGCCCATTCCTCCCAAATTGTAGCTTTGGATATTCCCTCGAAGCTTTTAATGGTTGATAACCATGGCAGACAGTGATGGTGTTGGATTAAACAAGCTGCAGTTCACAATCAAAATTCCAATGTCTTTGGGTTTTACAGAGGTCTTAGCCAAAAGCTCGTCAATAGCACCAAACATAACAGCCTCTGCTTCTTTTCTAGCTTCTTGCATTGATGGGTTAGGCGGTATATTAAGGGTTGCCTCTGGAAGATATGTTGAATCCCCAAGGCCCGACCTTTCAAGAATCTTACGCTGAAACTGAAGATTCTCCTCTGTGAATGAACCAGTCATTTGAGACTGATCCATGAAGATCCTTTTCGTGCACTTCCGAGATTCTTCTGGTTTGTAGCAGGAAAAATTGACAAGGCAAACAGGACGAGGGCGGGTTAGAAAGTAAAGAGTTGACAAGAAAACAAGAAGGGTTGAGCAGATGATAACAGAAATGAGGTTGTATTGAAGATGTTCCCAAAGATCATAAAGATCCTGGATGGAAAATGTTGAGAGCTGCACAGCAATTACAACTACAAGAGGGGAAAGGAAGAGGTACATTCCATGAGTGATTAGGTAATGGTATCCAAGGTTCACATATTTTAGCTTAATGGATTTCTTAAAATCAGGTAGGTTCCGAGATGATGATGGGATCAAAGGTTGTTCTGGTTTTGACTCAGCCTTCTCTTCCCTGTAAAAGGTTGAACTAATTGTATTAGATCAACTGCAAAAAAGAGTCAGAATACAAGACAATTCAAAACCAACAAATGAGCAAAGCCGGCAAAACATCAGACTTTTCGAAGGTAAACTTGAACCAGAAATTTCTACATTGCCTTTTAAGAGGTAAACTTTGTGGCAATCTAGACCCTAAAAAGATTAAAAACCTAAATTCAAAAGGATAAAGCACATGCATAGTAGAAGGAAAATGATGATTTTACTCCTTTTCTTCATTTCTGTCACCATAAAATCCCTTTTATTTAAAAAAAAAAAAAAACAGGTTCACATCAAATCTAACTTGAATTTTGCAAAACCAGATCAGAATGTCACATCAAATTCATGAATTTCACATAGTTTGTCAGAATGATAGTGGTGAAAGCATGCATTTGCATAAAAAAACCAACTTTTTTCAATAATTTAGACCAATTAGCTAGAGAAAGGAAACCATAATCACAATTTACACTGAATGCCTGAAACAACATTAAAAACTAATAATAATAATAATTGGAAATGAATCCAAAAACCCAGATCTAAAAAACTCACCTTGATCCCCAAAAGCCACCGAAGGTCACTTGAATCCCTATTCAAGAACGGCCACGGGGACAGAGAAGATAACAGAGGAATGCTAAAAATAAAAGACTATATCGAGCCTAGACGTGCAAGTGCGTCCAAAAGAGGAGAAAGATCAACGGATATTAGAAAATTTGAAACGAATCAAGTATTGTAGAATATAAAGCACTAAAATAAACAATTATTAAAAAAATTTGAAAACCGTTTTTGGCAAAATAGAAACAAAAAAAAAAAAAAAGAACGTTAAATAGAAATGGGAAAATGATGAGGAAACCAAACAAAGAAAGTGGCGCAGTGGACGCGTTTTCTTGAAGAGGCGGCGCGTCTGGTGTTTTGGAAACGTTTGACCGTGTTCTCTCTCCGGGTTCACCGCCAGAAGCGCTGCCGTTTTTAAGAAAAAATTGATAAGAAAAGTAGATTGTACAATATTTGAATTGTCAAGGGGTTTTTTTTTTTTTTTACTTAAATATCAATTTTTTATATGAATATAGATTTTTTAATTCCTGTTGGACCTTTAAAACTTGTCAAATACTAAATATGTGAATTTGTGTTAAATTTTCCCTTCTATAGTTTTTTAATGAGTTTATTTTCTAAAATTTAAACTTTTTAAATTAAAACCTTAAAATAGAAAAGTAAAATTTAAAAAATGAGAGAAAATTATTTTATTTAAAAAACAAAGCTTAAGTTTTTGAAAATAGCTTGAGCTAATATCATCTTCAACACACTGTTTTTCTTATGCATTTTATGTACAAAATAATGGTGTTTTTGCTAAAATTTTTATAATCTTATTTATTCAATTCAAACTTCATTTTAGAGCTCACAAGATAATAATTAAGCTGATTTTCAGGCAAGATTTCAAATAAGAAAAAGGATTTCAAATAAGAAAAAGGACAACTTAGTTTAAAAGATATAACCACAAAAGTGATAAATAATTTTTTATGTATATAAATATAAGAGATTTAATCAATTAAGTAATTGATTCAATTGGTTAAAGATAATTATTTTTGACATAAAAATCTTAAATTTGAGTCTTATTGATAATTATTTATTAAAATCATTTCAAATATACGATTTATAATCATTTATTTTAAATTATTAAATATGATACATCTTATTTTAACTTAAAAATTAAACAATTTATTTATTTTGAATCTTTTTTTATAAAAAAAATAAGAGATTTTGAAATCGAGTTTATTACAATTTATTTTTACAATTATTTTTAAAAATTAATATCTAATTAATTTGAAAATCAAATTTGAATATATACAATCCTCTTTCTTCTATTTTCAAAGATTTTCACGAGCGCACTATTTTACGTAAAAAGCTGTCCCCACCACCGTCCCAACGAATAAAGACACATAGTAGCAGCACATATCCTCCAAAAGATTTTGAAATTCTAAGATATATAAATACACACAAATATATATATATATCTAATAAATTTAGGTCGGTATAAACTCTTTTTTTATTGCAAAAGAAAGTTAGTGTCCTTACAAGAGAGGATGGTGGAGTCGAAACCACATTTACATAACTTTTAATCCATCTCTTAACTATTAAATTAAAAGAAAAAAATTGATAAATATAAAAATTTAACCCTTACAACACAATATATATACCGGCAGCATCCAAAACTCACGTCGAGTCCAAAAATCATAGCTTGCAGCATATATTTACAGTGGAGACATTAATTCTGTCGTCCAACTGAAAATGTCGAGCAAAATGTGAACATTGATGGATACCAAGGTGTTGCCATCATGATGACGCTACCACTATTTGGCTAGCTCCAAACCACATGTCGAAGATAATGAGCCTCTCTTTTCATATCATGAGAAATCAGCCATGTGATTTTTCAGTGTTTATCGCCACTAGCCCACCACTTTGCCACAAATGATCTTAAACTTGACCCATGCATACACGAAAAATGACTTTACTAGACATCAAAGGCTATCTACTGCAGATCAACAGGAGAATTTGCTGAATTGTCAGCTTAGGTGGCTGGGCCATGTATCGGCGCCACCTGTGCTCGGCATTTGGTCATGCACAAGGCAGCGCAACCTTCGGTCTTCACTCCACACTCTTCACGTGCTTGCCTGGTGGCAGAAAGAGGCTATCAACCATCTCTACCAACATCACCCTCTATATAATCACTTCTGACATCCTTCAAAGTTCAAACCCAGGACAAGTTACTGAGTCACTAATTCAATCCCAAAAACAAGACGCAGTTAGACCAGCTGACCACTTCTATTCATTTTCTTATTCTACAGGTGAAAGACCTTAGAAATAAATCAAAGTTCTAGTCACATTTTTAATTCTTATTCCTCCTTTGCTCCAGAAGCAGTAGAAAGGAAATGTCTTCTATTTCTAAGGTTGTTGCCTCGTGGTACAAGCAGCATGAAGATGGCGATGATGGACGTGACTATGCTCAGCAGCATGCATGGGAGGACATGGTGGTGGTTATGATGATGATGGAGATTATGAATATGCCCCTACAGCATCCCTTGAAGGTGATGATGATGATGGTAGCTATGATTACGCTTCAGCTGCATGAATAGATAATTAGATAGTTATTAAGCTACACATTCTTTACAGAATCAAAACTCCTAAACATGGGGTTTTTAATTAACCCAAACTTTTAGCAGTTCTACCATGTAAGTATCAGCATATGCATGAGTGGCCCCACGTGCGGATTTAAAGCACCTTATGATGGTGGGTTTATAAGGATCATTTTAGAATATATTTAAAGAAAACGTGGGATGTATTTTATGTCATCTACGTTAGTTCTCTAGCAGTCAGTGACAAATGCTAATCATGTTATATGTTTATGATAATGATAGACGGTCATCATTACATTATTAACTAGTCAACCAGAGCTTTGTTTAGGTACAAGTGGAGGAAATTAAATAATATTATTGCAGTTTATGATTGATGTAGAATAAGTGAGTTTTGTTCTTAAGCATAACTAACTTCCTAAGGAGAATGTTTTCTTGTCTGTTGCTGTTATGGTATGCATATCAGTCAAGGCAGTCAACTTGGAGCAAATTGGTTTGATGGGGCCCAAAAGGTCCAATGCTAAATATAGTAGTAAATAATACTAAAACAAAAAATTACGAATTAATAATAACCATTTCAAATAGAGCTTATTATATTGTTGCAACTTGTAACCATATTATATTGCTGCAAGGTGGAAGCTTTATTATATTTTTGCGACGGAAAATACTAAACCAAGCAGCACAAATGGAACTTACTTTCTAAATAATACCTAGATCTTATAGGGTGGTCATGCTTCTAAGTAGCGGATCCAGAATTTTTTTTCAAAGGCCGCCACTTATAATATATATATATATATATATATATATAAACTACTATAGATTTACTAATTTTGTCAATAAAAAGAATGTCCAGAAAAAAATTTTCTTTAAATTTTCCTTTTTTTCAATATTTAGGTATCCAAGGATATCCTACCTCAAAGGTGCATCATCTACCACTTTTTATGCAGCAGACTCGGTCTTAGCAGGTCATCCGGGTGAAAATATTTTTCTTTTAATGAATCTCCCATATGCTAGGGCATCAACCTTGAAATCTTGAAACAAAATAAAATAGGAATGTATTTAACCAAGGCAATGCAGTTTTTCAGAAATAAACAAGAATGGTGAGCTATGCAGATCCATCTTATTGTCAGATAGCTATAATCAGTTTTAGAGAATTAATTTGAAAGACTAAAGTAGAAATATTACTAAAGAAATTACAAATACGTTAGGAGGAATCTAGAAATATTCAAATATATAATAGAATAAAGGAGACAGATACCTGCTAGCTAGGAAGGACCAGCAATTTTAAAGAGATCCATGAATATTAGCAATTCAACGAATATAAACCTAAAAAAAAAAATAATGCATTGCCAAACATTAAAATATATCATGAATTTATGACATTCGTAAAATAAAATAAAAAAATCCTAACAAAATTCTGTTCTCAACACTGATGTGTATGTTAATATTAGTCCAGAAGGGTACTATTGGGGTTAGATGATAGATCTCCTATGTCAGTCAACATTCAACAGAGTAGGGGTGTATATGTATAATATATATACAGTGGAATAAACATGCTGGAAAACCCAATTTCCCATACTTTCCTTATCTAAGAAGTAAGTTGAATCAGAAAGCTGAAATTTGAATACTTTCTCCCTTTTTCACTAAGACAAATGTTGAAGCTTGCTCAGAAACTATTTCGTGAACCTGCTTGAGCAAGAGACCAAATCAGCAGTCCAATGGCCTCTTCTTGAAAACTTTGATGTAAAAGCAACTTCATTTCCCTACTTGCAAATATTTTCAGAATCCAGTCATGCTTCTTTCCTAGCTAAGCAATTATACCATTAAGCAGCTTCAGAAAATTCCCAAAATTTTAATTCAATCCCTTCTCGATGCAGTATACGCTCAAGAGATTTGTAAAGTTATTGCACCATGGTTGACACCATTCACTTCAATTGAGCCACAGCCAGGCTCCTTTTTGACTTCAAGATTTTTCATGTTTTCTCTAACCTTTGTTACATCTTCCCATCTATCAGCAGAAGCAAAGATATTGACGAGAAGTGTATGAATACTGGAATCACTTGATTCAATTTCTACTAGCCGTTGAGCCACCCATTTTGCCATCTCAACATTTCCATAGGTCCTTCAAGCACTAAGAAAGGAACCATAAAGTGGCACAATGATTTCATTATCTTCTCTTCGTATAATATCTATCAACTTCTCTACTTCAGCAGACAGTCCATCTCCAGTCTCCACCAAGTGGGTCAATCTGACATGAATAGTGTTCCAACTTTGCTCAATATGATACACTTTTGACATGGAATCAAAAAACCCACAACCTTCTTGACGTACTTGTCCATCTGACCACAGTTTAGGTTGCCAGACACCATATTAGTCTAACAATTAACATTCTTAGTCGGTATCTCTTCAAAATTTCCTGGCTATATCTAAACAACCACACTTACAATACGTCTAACAAAGCATTCCCCATTACTTTAGTCAATTCAAGCTCTTTCCTTACAAAATGGTCAATTTCCTTGTCAAGTTCCAATCTTCTCAATGCTGTACAAGCCGAAAGGGCACTAACAACTTTAGCCTCATTCGGCTTAACCGCACTTTTTTTTCTCATCAATCCAAAAGCATTCACAGCATCTTCAAACTTCCCACACTTAACCAACCCAGAAATTAACAAATTCCAGTCTACCACATCTATCTCAGGCATTTCATCAAATAAATTTTTTGAACACCCAACCCGACCTACTTTAACATACATATCCTTAAGTGAATTAATCACATGAGCATCAAATTCAAGCCCAGATTTTACCACCAACCCATAAATCTTTTCACCTTCAAAAACCTCTCCCAAGCATTCAACTGTCTTGAAAACAAAAGGGTAGGTAAAACTATCAGGCCACAACCCTGGTTCACTCAGCTTCCTAAAGACCAAAGTTGCATTTTTATGACAACTCTTTCACAAACATCTTGAATCTTGACCATCACGTTGCATATAAATAAAGATGGGTTTTGATTGAAATGAAGATTTTTTTCAGCATATGGGAACTGGGAAGTCTCCAAGAGATGGGTCCGTACAAAAAGCTATGAGCTTGATGAGATTGTGGCTGTTTTGGTGCAGACCAAGTAGGACGGTTTGGGCTTGGATTTGCGTAAGGTGGTTCATGAATTTGTAGTTTTTGAGAAGTGAGATGCATGCTTGTTCGGTTAGTGAAGGGAGAAACGATAAAATGGGCAAAATTCAAGCCTTCCATAAGCTCGAGCGCGGGCCATTCTAATTGGTATTAAAGAAATCAATAATGGGCTTTATATCGCCACAGAAAAAATAAAGAAGAAGCTAAAATGCAAATTTTATCTGAAAGTGTTCTTTTCTTGGAACTTCCATTTTAATTATACATTAATTTCATATAATTCTAAATTAAAATTAAATAACAAATATCTTTGATGCATAAAAATCTTTATTATAGAATAGTAGCAGCATTGACCATGGATTGTCCTTCCTAGACGCTGTCGTATAGCTAATCAAAGCACTCTAAAGTCTGAACGCGTCCTTCTCATTGGGTATTTTTTGGCGCTGTGGGAAAGAACTGACTCCCTCGCTGTCTTTGTTACAGGTATTACCAAAACAAACACGCGAATTTTGCTTTGTGTTAAACCACTACGGCTCTATCTAACCATTCAGCTTGCATGTCTCCAAAAACCAGGCCTTAGCTTTTCCACAAACATTCTTTTCCATCTCTGCTTCTCCAATATCTCCCTGTTCCTGTTCCCTGTCGGTTACTACTTTCCTTCCATTATATCTGTTTTAATTTCTTTATTATACTTTAAATCTGCTTTTCATTTCATTTAATTTAATTTGTTAGATCAGTATAACTCTTAAATACCCACATCCCATTTCTTCCCATGAAGTCTTTTTCTAGTTCGCACCCTGTTATATTTTTCACTAATGTATCTGCCATTGTCAGTTTTGTCTAAGATCTACTGATTTTTATTTCTGTGTATTTGTTATTTTTAACATAAAATCAGAATCCTCCCGGAAAAAAAATGTCAACGATTAGATTTGAATCCACTAGACAATACTATGCTACAAACAGTTTGGTGGTGGGTTATGCACTTTGTTCGAGCTTACTTGCTGTTATCAACAAATTTGCAATTACCAGATTTAACTACCCAGGTTTATTAACTGCATTGCAGTACTTAACTTCTGCCTTAGGGGTCTGGGTATTGGGCAAGTTTGGGTTTTTACATCATGATCCTTTCACATTGGATATTGCCAAGAAGTTTTTGCCTGCTGCTATTGTATTTTACCTTGCAATCTTCACAAACACCAATCTTTTGCGTCATGCGAATGTGGATACTTTCATAGTGTTTAGATCCTTGACACCCCTTTTGGTTGCAATAGCTGATACGACCTATAGGAGGCAACCGTGCCCGTCAAAGCTAACATTTATGTCTCTGTTGATCATTCTGGGTGGTGCTGTTGGGTACGTGGCTACTGATTCAGCCTTTACTTTGACTGCATATTCATGGGCGTTTGCGTATTTGGTAACAATTACTGCTGAGATGGTTTATATTAAGCATATGGTGATGAATCTTGGGTTGAACACTTGGGGTTTTGTGTTGTACAATAACTTGTTATCGTTGATGATGGCACCCATGTTTTGGGTTTGGACCGGAGAATACAGTGAGGTGTTTGCTGCTTTGGGAGCCAATGCTGGGAATTGGTTTGAACCTGCAGCGTTTATTGCGGTATCTTTGTCTTGCTTGTTTGGTTTGCTCATTAGTTTCTTTGGGTTTGCGGCTAGGAGGGCAATCTCTGCCACTGCATTTACTGTGACAGGTGTGGTTAATAAGTTTCTTACAGTTGTGATCAATGTTTTGATTTGGGATAAGCATGCTACTCCAATTGGTTTGGTTTGCCTCCTCTTCACTCTGGCAGGAGGGGTTCTTTATCAACAGTCAGTTACTGGGCCGCCACGTGAGTCAACAGCATCCAGGCAGAAAGGTGATGAGAATGAGAATGATGATAAAGAGAATCAAGGTAAGAGTGTGTCTGGTAAACATGCTTCCGTATGAGGAATATTGTTTCTTATTTAGCCATTGAAGAAGACTGTTGGGATGTATGAATCTCTAGATTCCCTAATTTTGGAAGTACCTTTTCTGTATAAGATCTCACAATCCCATGTTTAGAATTTATTGGTGATTTATAAATCATTATGCTCCTGGTTCATTATCTAACAATATTGTGGCATTCTTTGTTGCTTCATGTACTAGTGGTTGCAAATTTTCTATACATGGTTTTTGGTTCGTCAGAATAGAGGAATATGTATTTTGCTATTTCTTCTTTACTTTTCCTTGTTCATAGATATTCTGGTGACCTTGGCTTAGATATTGATGTTGCTATCAGTTATAGGGATCCCAGATTAGTTACAAGGACCTCTCCGATTTAATTGCATGTTGATTCTTAATACCAATGTAGTATCTCCTGGAGGAAAAAGGAGAAAAGAAAGTAGACTACAGAACTTCATGTCATAGCTCGAACTGTGGACTTATCATGTGTCTTATAACTTGAATTGAGGTAAGCTTGATTGGCGGTGCGATAGTGAAGAAGGCACCGAGTCTCCATGAGATTAACTGATGTTCTGATCATCATATTGCAATAAAAGCCATCGATTCATCTCTAAAGATCAACAACTGCTGAACTATTTTTGTTCTTTCTATTCTTTTGTATGGTTTCTACCATTTTACCACTGGTCTTGGGAACTTGTAGTTCACTTAGTCGCTCGCACATGATAGACTTGACTACTGGCCAATGGCCACTTATTCTTTTCTTTTATCCATGTTCAATTTGCTTCTTGCCTTTTCTTGTTGTTTCTTTAAGCTTTCAAAACGGGCACCCATATAAGTTTTAGTTGTTATTTTTGTTAGGAAAATGGGTCCAGCCTCATATAAGTGGTTTTGGACCAAGTAAAGGTCATGGGTCTTGATTTTTCATTTTACACAGAGTCCTAGCTACTTGATAAAAAAGAGGTGGGATTGTTTTAAGTGGGTGTCGAAAACCAAGTAAAGAAAGAAAAAAAACCAGAAAAAAACAGAGAGAAAAAGGAGAATGGAGAGTTGGTTGAACGAGGGTCTATCTGTGATCCGATTGAGTTGAACCTTGTCAGGAGGTTTATGATTCAGAGTTCTACATTCTAAACGGTGAAGATCGGGTTTGAAGCTCTCTAGGAACAAATCTATGGTGTATTTGTTGAGTCACTTATTTGGTGAGATTTCTCCAATTGTTTCTCTAATTGTTGATTAGCTTTAGTTTTAGCTAGAGAAGAACTTTATATACCTATTATTTGATAGTAAAGATTTTTCTGGTGGTACGTGATTTTTTTCCTCTACATTGGAGGGTTTTTCATGTAAATCTTGGTGTACTTTATTTTTCTTGCATTTTTTATTATTGATTGTTGTCTATTGCTTTTGTATTGTTGTGATTATTGCTTCAGGCGCAACAAGTGGTATCAGAGCGAAGGTTATTTTGAGACATCGATACAGAAGCAACCCAGGATAGAAGTAAATTCTGTTTGAAATCATGGAAGGTGATACAGGTTTCATGATAAAATTGACAGCATCGAATTATTCAATTTGAAAGCCTATAATGGAGGATCATCTATATTGCAAAGATTTGTATGAGTCAGTATTGGGTGATTCGGTTAAACCAGCAGATATGAAAGATGAAAGCTGGAAAGAAGCTAGGTAAAAAGACACTGATTACAATAAAAAAATAAGTTGATATCAGCTTGTTTCATCATGTAGCGCAGAAGTCAGATGCTCATATTGTTTGAAAAAAATTGACAGTATTGTATGAGAGAAAAACAGGTATGAATAAAGTTATGCTTGTTAAAAAGCTTGTAACTTTATAGTACAGGGATGGACGATTTGTTACAGAGCATTTGAGTGATTTTCAAGATATATTTAATCGGATGACTACTATGGAGCTTAAGATGGATGATGAAATGAAGGCGAAAAGATGTAGACCATGGGAATCAAGCTTTGGTCACAGAGAACAGGGGTAGAAACATCGACAGAGGTCAGGACTCAAAAGGTCGTGGTAAGTCTAGAGGTAAAGTGAAGTATTTCTATTGTGGTAAGGCGGGTCATATAAAACGAAACTATAAAATCTTGAAGCAAGAGCAAAAAGATGAGAAAGGCAAGAGTTCAGATGATGATAATATTGCAGCAGTGAATTCAAATAGTGATTCAGTTACTTTGATTTGTACACATTGTGATTGTAATCATGTTAGTGATTCCGACATTGAGTGGATAGTTGACACAGGAGCGGCATATCATTGTATTCTTAAGATAGAGTTGTTTACAACTTACAAAGCAGAAAACTTTGATTGTACCAAGATGAGAAATAAGAGTGTGTCGCAGATTGTTGGGATTAATGATATTGTTGTACAAACTAGTACAAGCTGCATGTTGACTTTGAGGGATATCAGACACATTCCAGATATGAGAATGAACTTGCTTGCTATTAATGTCTTTGATAAGGAGGGATATGAAAGTCGACAAAAGAATGGATAGTGGAAGCTTCTCAAAGGATCTATGGTAGTTGCAAGAGAAAAATTATGCTACACAATGTATAAGACATGGATGCAATTGAACGGTAATCAGGTAAATACCGTTGAAAATGATGCTTCAGCAAACTTGTGGCACAGGAGGCTAGCACACATGAGTAAAAAAAGGTTACAAGTTTTGGCAAGACAGTCTCTGATTCCCTTGATCAAAGGTATGTCTCTCGATTCATGCGATTATTATTTGTTTGGTAAGCATCATAGTTTCTTTTCGTAAAAGTTCTCAGAAAAAAGAAAATAGATTGGAATTAATTTATTCTGATGTATGTGGTCCCATTGAGATTGAGTCATTAAGTGATAGCAGATATTTTGTTACTTTTATTAATGATGCTTTACGTAAGACTTGGGTATATATGTTGAAATACAAAAGTCAGATACTGTAGTATTTTCAAAAATTTCATACAATGGTTGAAAGGATGACAGAGTTACCCTTGAAGTGTATTCGAACTGATAATGATGAGGAATACACATATAAAGGCTTTGAAGAATATTGTTAAAACCATGAGATCAGACATGAGATGACAGAACCTGAAACATCGTAGCATAATGACATAGCTGAAAGAATGAATCGTATCATTATGAAAAAAGTCAGATGTATGTTGAGGATGGTAAAATTATCAAAGCCATTCTGGGGTAAAGCAATTAACACGGCTTGTTATTTACTTAACAGATCACCATTAGTTCCTTTGGGCTTTGACATTCCAGAAGAGTGTGGACAGAAAAAGATACTTCATACTCTCACTTAAAAATTTTTAGGTATAAAGCATTCATGCATGTGTCAAAAGAGTAGAGATCAAAGCTTGACAGTAAAATCACACAGTGTGTGTTTGTAGGATATGGTGATGAGAAATTTGGTTACAGGATATGAGATCCAGTAAAAAAAAAAGACAGTAAGAAGTAGAGATGTGATCTTTCATAAAAAAAAATCATAGCAGACCTTAAGAAAAATGAGAAGACTAGACGGTTTACTGTTGAGTGTGATGTTTCAACACCGACAGGGATTCCACAAGAAAAAGCCACAGATGGTGGAAATGAGCAAGAAACAAAACTTGGAAATATGAATGAGCAAGATGTAATTAGTTTTGAGCAGAGGGAACAATCCTTTCTACATGTAAGTGTTGAGCAGGGGAGCTACCTTTGACATCAAATGATGTAGAGTCTCAGCCCAGGAGATCTACTAGAGAGCACAAGCCATCTATCAGGTATCCAAGTTCATATTTTATTTTACTTACCAGTAAAAGGCAGCCAGAAAGCTTTCAAGATGTACAGGCTACTCCGGATAGAGAGCACTGATTAAAAGCAATGAAAGAAGAGATGGAGTCATTGCGAAAGAATGGTACTTATGATCTTGTTAAACTTTCAACAGGGAAAAGGTCATTAAAGAATAAATGGATGTTCAAGTTGAAAAATGATGGTGACAAACTAATGAGGTACAAAGCTCGATTGATAGTAAAAGATTTTTCTCAGAAATTAAACATCGATTTTGATGAGATTTTTGCTCGAGTTGTAAAGATGAGTTCTATTCGAGTGGTACTGAGATTAGCAGCTAGTTTAAATCTTGAGCTTGAGCAACTTGATGTTAAAATTATATTTTTGCATGGTGATTTACAGGAGGACATTTATATGAATCAACCTGAGGGTTTTAAAGTGAAAGGGAAAGAGCACTTAGTTTGTAAATTGAAGAAAAGCTTGTATGACTTGAAACAAGCACTGCGACAGTGGTACAAGAAGTTTGATTCTTTTATGGTGAGTCATAGCTATAAAAAAACAGCAGCAGATTCTTGTGTGTATGTTAAACAATTTCATAATGGTAACTTCATTATCCTATTATTATATGTTGAGGACATGTTGATTGTAGGACAAGATGCTAGTATGATTTGCAGGTTGAAAGAATAATTATCTAAGTCCTTTTATATGAAGGATTTAGGTCCAGCAAAGCAGATTCTTGGTATGGATATTATCCGGGATAGAAAAGCTGAAAAGCTGTTGTTGTCACAGGAAAAGTATGTTGAACGAGTGCTTGGTAGATTCAACATGCAACATGCTAAATCAGTTAGCAGTCTTCTTGCCAACCATTTTCATCTAAGTAAGAAATCTTGTCCAGTGTCTAAGGAAGAGCAACCAACTATGTCTAATATTCCTTATTCTTCTGAAGTCGATTTTTTAATGTATCTTATGATTTGTACAATACCTGACATTGCTCATGCAGTTAGTGTAGTGAGCAGATTTTTTTCTAATCCGAGAAATGTTCACTGAGAAGCAGTGAAATAGATTTTTAGATATTTGAGGGGTACTTAAAAAATATGCTTAACTTATGGAGTTTCACAATCAGTTCTAGAAGGGTTTACAGATGCTGACATGACAGACGATCTTGATGGTAGGAAATTTACTTCAGGGTATTTGTTCACTTTTATAGGAGGAGCTGTATCTTGGCAATCTAAGCTGCAAAAGTGTGTTGCTTTGTTAACTATAGAGGCTGAGTATATTGCAGCAATCAAAGCATGTAAAGAAATGCTTTGGATTAAACGTTTTTTTTTAATTGAGGTTGAATCAAAAAAAATATGTGATATTTTGTGATAGCTAGAGTGCTTTAGATTTGAGTAAGAATATCATGTACCATGCTAGAACAAAGCACATTGATGTTAGATATTATTGGTTACGTTCAGTGATTGAAGAACAGTAGATACTATTGAAGAAAGTTCATACTGATAAAAATGTAGCAGATATATTGACTAAGATACTTTTCAAGAAAAAGCTTGAGCTTTGTAGTAACTTGATCGGAATGAGTTCCCTGGCTAAGGTAAGTTTCAAATGAAACTGCTATGGTGATGAATCTCCCCTTAATGGGGTTAGAGGGGGAGATTGTTAGGAAAATGGGATTCAGCCTCATATAAGTAGTTTTGGACCAAGTAAAGGTCATGGGCCTTGATCTTTCATTTTACACATAGCCCTAGTTACTTAATAAAAAAGAGGTGAGGTTATTTTAAGTGGGTGTTAAAAACCAAGTAGAGAAAGAAGAAAGCTAGAAAAAACAGAGAGAAAAAGAAGAATGGAGAGTTGGTTGAACAGAGGTCGATTCGTGATACGATTGAGTTGAAACCTTGTCATGAGGTTTATGATTTAGAGTTCTACATTCTAACGGTGAAGATCGGGTTTAAAGCTCTTTAGGAACAAATTCATGATGTATTTGTTGAGTCACTTATTTGGTGAGATTTCTTAAATTATTTTTTCAGTTGTTGATTAGCTCTAGTTTTAGTTAAAAAAGAACTTTGTATATCTATTATTTGATAGTGAAGATTTTTCTAGTGATCTGTGATGTTTTTTCTCACATTAGAGGATTTTTCATG